CCCCCCCCCCCCCCCTCTCACTGGCTCTTCCAGCAGCCGTCTCGCCTCGCCCATGGTCTCGATGGTCTCGCGAGTCTCGGCGCGCCCGCGGGGGGTTGAGAACAAGAGTGTCGGCTCGGCTCGGCTTGCCTACCCTGTCAATGCAGGGGCGGCTATAAGTTGCGCGCCTGACGGGCGAGCCGATGTCGCGGGGATAGGGTATTCTGCTACAAACAGTGACTGCCCGATCTATTTCCTCGAGCTGGCATACTTTTCCGGTTGGCTTGCAGCGGAACACCCTCCTATTGCCTCTGTGCTGGTGCACGTTGCCTTCTTACCTGAGGCTGAGGCCGACTGGGTGCTTTTGCACGTAATATCCATACATACTCGCGGTAAGTTTTTGTGAGGCGCAACGAGTCGTGGGAGGAATGAATTTGCTTCCTGGGTCGTGACTGGCCATACTTCCTAACTGAATACACCTCCACCCATCTCTCCGCGACCCCAGGAGGGGCACCCCTCCGCTCTAATCGGGGCGCCTCGCCCGCGTGGGGCCCGTGGGCGACCCGCGCGTGTGGCGGGGCGGGGCCTCCTCCTCATCAGGGCGCAAAGCGAGTGCCCCGCTCCCGCTTCCTTGTCACGTGTGCTCCACTTCCGCCCTCGCAGCCGCGGCGGGCCGGGATGCTGCTGACTTACACCCCGTTACACGGCGTTACACGGCGTTACACCCCGTTACACGGCGTTACACATCTCGCTGGTGCAAAAGCCCACGGCGGCGGGGGTGGGCTACGCCAGGCGCGGCGGGCGCTGGTTCTGGGACAGCAGAGTCCTCCTGCGGGCGCCAGGGCCGCCGAGGCCAGCAGGACGCTGCACAGCTAGCGGCGCTAGCGTTCGCAGAATCCATAAAATTTTGACGCCACGTTGTTATTACACGAGTATTATTATCTCTTCCGTCCGTTCGTCGGCGCGGTGCTGTTCGCGGCGCCACCCGCGGCCCGGCCGGAGCAAAGGCGGGGCGGGGCCGGGCAGGGCGGCCGTGGAGGGGAAGTGGCGGGGCGGGGGCGATGGATGGAGTGATGTAGGTCGGTGAGCAATGTGCACTTTGTCCGGCTTGCGGCCCGTCCGGCCTGGCCCTGCCGCACTCCGCAGCCACCCGCCCTGCGCCCCGCCAAGCCCCGCGCACCACCGCAGCGGGCCGGGCCGGGCGGCGGCATCTTTACGAGGGAAATAAACCCGCACATGATACGGAGCAGGGCGGGGCG